AATGGTAGGATGCCAAATCATGTTGCTTCAGAAAAGGCAGCAGACGTTTTTCCAGACACTCGATCACGTAAATTTCCTGGTTGACAGTCCCGGTCACAATGAAACGGTCCCGATTGCAAGCCAAAGGTACAGATAGCCTGCCAAACCAGATATTTCTATTCTGACTTTGACAGTTTCATATGCTTGAAAATGTCTACCACCTTTCTCCTTCCGGTTGCAGTAGAAAACGAGCGGCGACTCTACCTACGATGCAGGAAAAAATATGTTTGTGATTAGCTGCAAGTAGGGAAAATGGATGTAATGTCGGCCTAAATGCCCTTAATTTGGACCCATACATTAATTCAGCAATCGACTCAAAACTATCCATTAGTACCGTGCCAATGACGCGTTCATCTAGATAAAATTGATAAATAGCAGATATTTAGCGATGCGCCCAATCTTAGATCCATAGCCCAACATTAGAGCCACCCAACAAACAATTCACAGTCACAAATAAGCATACACATTGAATAAATGCTGTATAACAGTGTACAACGCTGAATAAAACAGGATGTCGAATTATGTGCTGAAAAAAGCTCATTGAGATCGATAGATGCACCTTTATTCCGCCGTTTGCTCTGATATGATTAATTTACTTATTAAAAGCTTTATAAACGTTGACTGTCTTCCTGATTCAGAACCAGAAGTTTGATCTAATAACAAACTGAATAAGTGTAATTTGCACATACATTGTCGCTTTAATTCGACTGTTTTCAATTGCTTTAATACAATGCTTTATTAGACGTCTTATAAATGTTTTCTAGCTCCATTATTAGATTTCACTGCATTGCTTTATAATATTGCTGTATAAAGGTGAATACAGTCAGAAAAATAGCTCTGGTACCACTATGCGTCCATGTTTTAGTTGAATGCTTTGTAAATGCTTTATAAACGACGTATTAGATTCATTATTCCACAACGCTGCCCAATAAACAATTCAGAGTCACAAATAAGCATATAGATTGAATAAATGCTTTATAACAGTGTACAATGCTGAATAAAACGGGTTGTCAAATTATGTGCTCAGAAAACCTCATTGAGATCGATGATGCGCCTTTATTCCGCTGATTGCTCTGATTTGATTAATATACTTATTAAAATCTATACAAACGATGACTGTCTTCATGATTCAACACCAGAAGTTTGATCTGATATCATACTGGATAAGTGTGTTTCCATTGATTTAATAACATGCTTTATTATACGTCTAATAATTGTTTTCTAGCTGCATTACTAGGTTCCATTGCATTGCTTTACAATATTGCTGTATAAAGGTGAATACAGTCAGCATAGTAGCTCTTATACCACTATGCGTCCATGTTGTAATCACATGATTTGTAAATGCTTTATAAACGACGTATTAGATTCATTATTCGACAACACTGCTTCAGGCTAACTTCAAAACGAAATAGGTAGCATAGTGGTTACCGTTTCCGCTTTTCAAGTAGAAGGTCGCGAGTTCAATCCCAGCCTCAACCCTTTTTTGTTTTATTTATTTTCTACGCCAATTAATTTAAATCGTAATCATAAATCGTATCACTCACGACAACCAATTTATAGATCTATCGAAAAGAATAGCATCCTTTCCATCGAAATTAGAGAGATGGAGAGGTAACGTTGGTCTAATGTTAAACAACTATGAATAAATTAATCATTCTTACATCTCCTTGAATTAACTAGAGTTACGGCTGGAAGTGCTGATAGGTTTTCAGATTCAAGCTTTTATTGCTTATTTAGCTGCCCATATGATGTATTCTAGGATAGCTCAGATGGCAAGGCAAGCGGCTGGTGATCGGCAGGTCATGGTTCGAATCCCATATAACGACATGTGTGTGTATGTATGTATGTAATAAATTATCTAGATCTGTGTGATGGGTGGCGTGCTTCGACAGAAATAATGACACAACAATCACTAACGAGAACAAAAACCCCTGCTCTGTGCCGTTCTTATTTTCGGATTAATTATCCCGTAGTTGAATAATCATTTAATAAATGTATAATAGTGTCTAATTAAACATTATTTCACATGAGAATTAAGCTTCTTGTAAACACCTTTATACCATCGCTGTTTAAGGAAGTATTTTGATGCCTAATAAACGCTGAATAATCAAAAATTTGATCGAATAAGCTCTGTTACTACAACTCTTGTAAGTCGAATAAAAGCTTCTCGACATACCTTATTCAACACCAAATATTTCGATGTGGTTGAATAAATTCTCCAGATTTGTGTGAACAAAGCCTGAACAGAAGTTATTATTAAAAATAGTACAAGTATTATTAAGCATAAAGTGGAATAAAACCGTAAAGAAGTCGTTTCTTCAATAGGCAATTGTTTGTTGGGCATTTCCCCTAGATGCGAGAAATGAAAAAAAGATTTTTCGAAGATTGTTTCACTAGTGTGAGATTTGTTGAGCATCTACAATTGAGATTAAGATGTATCGCTCCCCTCAATATAAAACTCCTGCCCAGGAAGCCGTTTGAAGTCTGCCTTGACGTAGGTTTGGTCGTCCATTACCACACAATCAAACTTCATCAGCACCGGATTTGTGTCACCGATGAACCGACATGCCACAGGAATATTTCGTTTGTCCACAATTCGATTTGTCTAACGAGTGATTCGAACTTTCAAACGGGCGATCAGATCTGTCAAACGAGGTGAGACGCATACCACCGACAAACCGACATGAATGCCCATAGCAAAAACAATAAAATTTCTGACCAAAGCACACTAATGACTAAAATATTTAGCTAAGCCATGAACCCGCATGCAGTTATTAATTGGTTGGTGTCTGATCTATTCTGGACCAATTATTTTTATCTAGATCAAAAAATCCTATGGTTTTGACAGTTCGGATCACTGCACATTTAAATCGACCGTTTACGATTTTCGGGCATTAGTCAGAATTAAGTGTCATGTCGGTTTGTCGGTGCGCATACCATGGCAATATAAATTCTACGTGGGTTCGTGTTTTTGTTCATGTTATGTTGCGATCGGATGAGTAGATAGCGGTAGTGTTTAACGTATTTTTAATATGGCGTCTTGGGCAAGAATTTGAATGTTGCTTGTCACGTTGGTTCGTCGGTGGTTGTGTTTTGGCCGTTTCGTTTTGTTGATCGTCACGATTTGGAGTCATTACCTTCTTATAAGTCGACTGTCCGGCTCGTTTTTTAGCTCGATGCACGATTGTAGACGACACTCCCAGCTTGTTTGCGACATATTGGACGGAGAGGTTGGAGTTCCACTTGAAACCGGTGGCCACTTTTTTGTCGTCGCTGAGATTTCCAGCTTTCGATTTCCCCCCGATCCAGGCCTCCTGGCTGTCAAAAAACATTTTCCGAACACTTTTATTACGTTGGTGACAGTTGATTAGGCACTTTTAACGATTTCGCTAACTCGGCGTGTGAGTAATTCGGATTTTCGCGATGCGCGTGAAAAATTTTGATGTGTTGCTTTTCTTGCTTGGACGCCATTTTGATAACTGATGAGCAACTTCCAAAATCAAAATTGAGGCATCATTCTGAACGCACACACACACACACCTACAAAATGAGGGGTGTTCAGTTTTTTTTTAATGCTCGATTAAAAGAAATGTGTTATGTTTAAGTCGACCAAATTTTGATCGTTACACCCTTTATTGAAAGAAGTCCACGAAGGAAATGATAATTATTGAAAATCGACTTAATGAAGCATACAAATCGGTCCATATCCTCGATGTCAGCTGGAATTTTCTGGAATGTTTGGATTTTTCCAAAAATATTGGGAAAAGATATACAAACTCTCCGAAAATTAGTTTGTTTTCCTTAGATTCTTGAAAAAAGAACTACATTCAAAACCATTTTTGCTACCTCGTTATTATTTTTTTAACTCTAAGCAAAATCGTTATTTCAATTTCTGCGGTTTTGTAAGTCCACCTTTGTGATGTGATGTCATAAAAACATGTTTTAACACGTAATTTTTTTTTTAGAGAAAATATGGAAAATCCTGTTTTTACTTTTGATATATTTTTCCAATAGTTTTTGAAATATCAAACGTAGTTTTTATTTTCGGGGCTGTCAGCTTTCCCTTAAGTTCATTCGTTTATTCTCCAGGAACTTAACGATACCAGTTTCAGCTACATGTCCCAGGTAAACAACAAGCCCGATAAGGACCCTCTTTGAAATATATTGGCTGATATAAAACTTAGAACCCCAATATTATCTTTTTATTGCAAAAGGGGCCCTTCTCGGGTTATTAGTGGGTTTCGTGGTTACTTGGGGTGTGCTCTTGAAGACTTTTGCTCAAAATGTTATAAATTTGCCCCTTTGATTCAATCATAGAGGTAACTCTAAGACTTATAGGTCCCGAAGAAACATGCTCAACTTGTTGGCTTAGCTGTGGTACTATCTTCGGCCCGAAGCTAATCGGTGCACCCCTCGAAAGATAGGAAAAACCACGAACCCCTTATTTAATCTGCCAAACTTTCATAGTGAATCAAAACAAAAATTGTGTAGGACAAGAATTTCAACTAGAATGGGATACGTTAATCGATTTGCTTGGAACCAATGGGCTAGTCAAGTAGTGAGCAAATTTAAAATCTTTAGTTTTCACCGGTTGATTCAATTGCCCCTTAGCTTCATGTAACAAAGCAGACAAATGTCTTTATCAAAAGAAAGAAAGCGATGGTAGTCAAGCTGATCGACCTCGTGATTGCTCTGAATAACCATTGTGACGTCTTTGTCAATGCAGTCAGATGGTATTCTTTCCGATGAATTTGTCACGATTTAAATTATAAATATCAATTTCTTTACCATTTTAATTAGCTGGAGGTGGTGAATGTTATGTATTTTTCTCATTCACTCCTTGGATGGAATGATGATAACACGAACCACCGGAATAAAATAATCATTCTCCAAATAGCTCACACACGCTAATGACTAACGCTATTCGGACAGATGCTCCACACTGAATCAAAACGACTGCCTTAGTAAATGGGTAAAATCGTTTATTTTTGTACTGGCATTATGTTCAGATGAAGTACAGAAGTACAGATCATGACTTGGAAAATATATACACATAACAATTACGTACTCTGCAGTCATACAGTTTCACTCTTAATTCTAATATTCGAAGTAAACTTTGGTCAAATGGTTGAAACTACGAGTCATCGGAACCGTGGTCCCGTTTCTGCTGCAGTTCCTGTTCCTTCTTCCGTTGCCGTCTCTGGGCCGCCTTTCGGCTCATCTGCTGTCCCCGGCCAATGGTCTCGAAGATATTGAACGGCGTCTGGCCGATGTTGTAGGTGTATTTGTACTGCTTGGCCTGAGCTCGCTGGGCGGAGGTAACTTCCACGTCGTCCAGATGGCGCAGCTGGGGCAGAATACTGATCACCATCATGCGGTAGTCGTTGTGTTCCAGGGTGGAGTTTCCGTTGAAGGACGACGTCGCTCCGGGGTTGCCCATCAGCGAAAGGTATCGCAGCGATGGACAGCAATCGCGTATCCGGTAGACCCACTTTTGCACGTTGTCGATATCACAGTGATTGAGCCACAACAGGGACAGGTTTGGCAACGATGGAAGGGTTTTCTCGTCCGGCTGCGGGTTGTGGTCCAGGATGAGCGTGTTCAGTTGGCGGAAGTGGCTGAGGAAGGAGAGATCTCTGCAAGAGGGGAAAGAGAACGAAGGAATGGGATTAGTGGAGTTTAATTGATAGTATGATCATAGAGGTAGCTCTAAGACCAGAAGGTCCCGAAGAAACGTGCTCTACTTTTTGGCTCAGCTCTGGTGCTCTTTTCGGTCCCAAGCTAATCGATGCACCACTCGAAACATAGGAAAATCTACGAACCCTTCATTTTATCTGGCAAACGTTCATAGCGAGTCAAAACGAACATAGTGTAGTACTAGAACTTCGACTGGAATGGGGTACGCTTATAGATGCACTTAGGACCAATAGGCTAGTCAAGTGTGAGCCAAATTAAAATCGTTGGTTTCCACCAGTTGATATGATGAAGCATAAAGTTGACAGTTATTTGTGAGCACAAAAAAAAATCCGAGTACGTGTGGGGAACTTTGAGCAAATTGGAGCTCTGTCATAGAGATTAGTGACGTTTAACGCATGCACATTAACGGGTGCGGGTTTGTACTGTCAAAATGAGTTTGAAGGCGATTTGTTAGGAATTCTCCACGCATTTTCATATCACACCAATACCACCGGACGTGAAAATCTCTATTGAACACTGTTAAAAGCTGTGTTTAATGAGAGCTCGAAACCGATCACAACAACTTGCTATCTCTTTTCTGGCGTTCGTTCAGCCGATCCAACCTACTTCAAGTTGCTTGTGTCCAATCAGTCAAAACACGACCGAATGTGAATGTGGTTGTCGAGATGTTGACGTATAACAACAAGGATTTCAAAGAAGGACAAGAACAAATGAATCTACTGCTAATTGGAATTTTGTATAGAGTAGAGTGGAGAAAAAGTGCGCACTGGTCCGATAGGCAAGTAAACAAAATGATGGACCAATGAATATGAGTAAAATTTGAACCTCTACTGAATATAAGAGTACTAGAAAAATATTGTGAATTTTGCATAATCCACCTAAAAGTTATCACTAGAAGAAGGAGGTTTTTGGATTAATGTATTTGGAATAAAGTTAAAAAAAATTGGAAGCGGTATTACAATATTATGGATGAAGATTATAACTTGTTCCTGTATTATGATTGCTCTACCCGATAGGTATTTTATGGTATATATCAGCCAACGATATAAAAAAAACGTAATTTATGGGAGATCCTTTTCATTATTGACTGCGAGTGCGGCAAGTGTACGGATGGCTTATATAGAATGGTGGTCAAATCATTTCAATTTTGAAAAATCAATTGTATCTGTTTTAAATCGTTAATTGATATGCTTTAGTGCAATACTATTACCGAACATTTTGATTTCATCAGATTTGAATGATTTTATGCTAATTTCCATCGGTAAGAACAACCAACTTACAACACTTGAACAAACAAAATAAATGAGTGCATACAAATAATATGTGCGTGAAGATGGTGAATGAAGGTTCAATTTTGATTTGATATTGATTTAGAAAGCATTCATTCAATTAAAATAGACGTTTGTGCAATGTTCGGGGAATTGTTCGCAAATCTCATTCATTGAGCTTCCATGATAGAATAAACTCGAGTGCAAATCTGGCAAACAAAACTCACGATTGAGATTCTCATGCAATTTCACGCACTCACACTCACAATTCCAGAAAATCATTCCAGTTTAAAACTCATAACATCCACTCAAATGTTAATTGATGGCATGCTTATGCACGTTGTGTTAGTTTTACATCCTCTGATGCAAAAACAAAATAATACTCATTGGTGATTTTTTCTCAGTTAAAATTTGCAAGTCAAAACTCATAAGCAGGCTTGCTTCCACTCACTTGCTATAAAAACATGATTTTCTGAATTTTGAAATCATTAGATGTTATAATCATATTTTGTACTTGTTAGATACAAGTATAGGTTGAAAGGCAAGTGTTTGACACATGAAACCTGTCAAATTCGCTTTCAGATAGTCACAATAAGCGATTTTACGACTCGCGAGCGCTCACTCTGAGTGAACGCTCACGAATCATAAAATCGCTTATTGTAACTCTCTGGTAGCGAAATTGACAGGTTTTATGAGTCAAACACTTGCCTTTCATCCGCTTCTTGTATCTAACAAGTCCAAAATATCGAATGATTTCAAAATTCAGAATATCATATTTTTATAGCAAGTGAGTGGAAGCAACCCTGCTCATAAGCGATTAAACTTATTCATTTCATGAGATTTGAGATTTTGAGTTTCTTACGAACACTGAATTTGTGAAACGTTTAGTAAAATGCGCGCTACCAACAAACAATTTGAACGATTAAGAGCTGAATAAACCAATTTTTAGCTGAAAAAGTCAATCAACAACATACTCATAAAGCTCTTTATGAAAAAGTACATGTATGTATGAATAAGCTCTTATTCAGCTTTCAATGTCAATAGACGATTATGATCTAAAATTTGATGTTTCGGTAAAAAATATACATGAATTTTAAAACTAAGTGCGTACTCTTGTCCCACTTTACTCTAGGCTTTTAAAACCCACCATCTTCAAAAAAGGCACGTATCGAAACGAAACTTTCACCAATGAAACACGTGCACTTTCACAATATTCCATATACAACCACTAGAGGCGCTGCTATAGAATATATAAAGTATCCGGATTCTAAGTGGATCAGACTTTTTTACCTAGCAATCCTCCGAAAAATACGACTGAACAAATTCACTTGAAGTCCTCAGCATTCACTTAGTGTTCTCCTGAAATTACCATGCAATTACCATGGAAATTCTTTTGTAGTTTTGCTCAGAATTCAAATACTCCTCATAATTTCCTTGTGTAGTATACTCTTTCTGGAATAAATATCAAATTTAAGACCTAGTCACAAAGAACGTGAGACCCTTATCATTCACAAGTTCGAGAGAAGTTCCTATGCATTTAATAGAACTGATCTCGGCCAGAATGTAAAATTACAAGGAAAAAATGTTTTACAAGTGGGCACTTGTGGCTCATTTCTCAAGTGCATCTACCCTGGTCGAAATTTTACACTGGTTTTGACACTATGTTCAATAACATCCGTTACGCTTTACCACTTGAAAACGAAACAGAGAACCCGGTACATCCCATGCAGTTCAATATTCACCCGACCTACATTCTTTGTTGTGGTTATTCATCAATATCCATAACCAAACTCAAGAGGTACAAGTCGTGTGTGTATGTGATGCTACTTGAAAACATACTTTTAACAAATAGTCAAATCGAAGCTGATTGGCTAAACAAAATAATACAAAGTAACTCCAAGCACCTCCCACTAGAAAAATGTCGTGTAGACTTAGGATTTGTGTGTAGAGTTGAGCTTCATGTAAGAATTTGCTAAGAGAAATAAACACTTAATATTTAACCATCAAACGATTGACAACAAAGTTGTTAAACTTGGAACTCTCTTTTGAATTTCCTAAACATTATCACCAGAATATCTTTGAAATACTTTCTGAGATTCCTTTGAAACTATCTTTAACATTTCGTTGTATCTATCCTCGGAATTCAAAATACAATACCCTTCGAATTTTCGTTGAAGTTAGAAATATTTTGGCATACTCTTTCTTAGGAACATTCCAAAATAATGGATATTCAATAGAAAATAAGAATTTTCAGTCATAAGGCTAGTAAAAAAAATTCAACGAATTCAGTATTTTTTATTAAAAACCCAATGAATATTGGAGAAGGGGCCCTGGTCAGCCGTACGACGCAACTTAGTCGCGAAGCTCTAACAAGAGTGCTGGAAGGCACTGAAATCATTTTCATATTTTATTGAACACCCGTTAATTCTATGGAATTATTTCAAAATTTGCGCTGAATCCATTTCTCATTCTTTTCACTTTTTATTATTCTTTTGCTTTATTTCTCCTCAAAATCATGTAGACATTAATGTCAGAACTCTAGCATGGAATTATGAGCTGATTTTTCCTAGAAACTTCTTGAAATTATCTTCAAAATTCCCAAGATTTTTTTTTTCCTTTGAATTGCCTCTAAATTTGCCTTTCGTGAAATAATACCCAGAATTCTCAGCAAATTTTCTCAAATTCCTTTAGAAATTAATCTCGGTAATTCCATAGAGGTAACTCCAGGACTAGTAGGTCCCGAAGAAACGTGCTCAACTTTTTGGCTCAGCTCTGGTACTATCTTCGGTCCCAAGCTAATCGATTCACCCCTCGAAACATAGGAAAATCCAATAACCCCTCATTTTATCTGTCAAACTTTCATAGCGAATCAAAACAAACATTCTATAGTATTAGAATTTCGACTAGAATGGGGCACGTTAATCGTTTGCTTGAGACCAATAGGCTAGTCAAGTAGTGAGCCAATTTAAAATCGTTAGTTTCGTATTGATTGTTGCTTGTACCGCGGAAATCTTTAAAAAAAACATTCACTCTACCGATCACATACTGTTGCTTGCCTAAATTCATCAAAATCAGTTTGAAATTTTGATGTAAAAACCGTATGAGAATTATTCTCATGAGTGCTTGATCATTGGGATATGACATAAAAGCTCATGATAGGTAGTTTCGTCTCGTGATATTTAGTGTGAGGACTGTTTTCTCATTGTCTGATTCAGAATTACCTTTAAAGCGCGTTTAAAAATTTACCCATATTTTAGATTGACCGCTTTACGCCCAATATGGGAAATCTGGGTAAACTGATTTTAGCGTGTAGCGCCGATGAACGAAACATTGAGTTTGTGATGCTTTATGAGTTACTTGAAGGCTGAAAATTTAAGTGAAATCATCACGCTTTCGGAAGTCATCTCCAATAATTAATAAAACTTTTAGGTTAAATTTATCAAAATGCGTAATAACGAGCCGGTAGTACGGTTATAAAAGAGAATATTTTTCAGATCATGTGGTGCATATTTTGCTCACCACAGATGGGTGATAACAATTTTAGATAGAGCTGCAATTAAGGCGTAACAGCTTTTCTAAACAATGAGTTCGACAGTGAGCATGCATAAGGGCGTAAACGCGATGATCGATTCTCTTCGTCGATTTTCTCTTTTGTTAATAACTCACTAGAACTAACGTTTCTCGGTGCGTTTGCTGTTGCTTTTGATAGCCAACCTGTTACAACTCTGCATTGAACAAATTCTAGAAAATTGTGTTCCTTACCCAAGTAACCAACAAGCCCGCTAATCGCCCTTTTTGCAATATAAATCTGATATATAGCTGATATAAAGTGTGGAAGCCCTATATTAACCTTATATTGCAAAAAGGGCGATTATTGGGCTATTATCGGGATTGGTGGTTACTTGGGTAGCTGTAGCAATACAAAGAGAAAATCGATGAAGAAAATCGATCATGCTCACTGTCAAGTTCTATCAATGATTTATAGTAGTTCAAGGCACTTCCACGCAAACCAACATTACCTGTTGATTTGCGTGGGCAAGCCTTGTCATTGGCAAGGTGATGTACTTTCGTGTCTGTTATTCAACATCGCGTTAGAAGGTGTGATCAGAAGAGCTGGTATAGACACGAGTGGCACGATCTTCAGAAAGTCCATCCAACTTCTTGGCTTTGCCGATGACATCGACATCATGGCACGGAACTTTTATGACGATGGCGGAAACGGACATCAGACTGAATGCTAAAGCTATGCGGATTGGACTTGCCATCAACGCATCGAAGACAAAATACATGAGAGGAAGAGGTTCTAGGGAAGACCATGTTAGCCTCCCACCCCGATTTCAGATTGACGGTGACGAAATCGAGGTGGTCGATGAGTTCATGTATTTGGGCTCACTGATGATCGCCAAATTATGACAGGGAATCGTGCCTACTTTGGACTCCGGAAGACGCTCCGGTCGAATAAAATTCGCCGCCGCACGAAGTTGACTATCTATAAGACGTTGATTAGACCGGCCACGAGATCTGGACTATGCTGGTGCGACCCAACAGGAACAAGAAGAAGAGGCGCACAGCGGGCAAGGTGGATCGACCAAGGAGAAGGTGACCTGCAGACTCTTCGCAGACTACGAGGCTGGCGAAGTGTGACCATTAGACTGATGCAAAATTTGAAATTTTCACTCCACAGTGCTCAAACGGTTTCAAATCAGGTCCTGATTAGCCTCCCAAAATTCAAACTCATTTGGTAAGAAACTGACTTGGCACAAACTATTAGAAGTTTATATGGAAATTTATATGGGAAAACCAAACTTTTTGTTCATTGTCTTCTACCCATTTTCCATTTTGATTTTTCGAAAAATTCTAAAACTATTCTTACAGGAATTTTTCTAAGCTACAACTTTGCGGAACATCGTTTTTCAGCCAAATGTCAAATTAAATAAATATTAATTGTTTTAGAGATTGATAATCTTATGGCTTGATCAAGCAGCTGTTCTGTTAGCAACACTGTATTCTGCAGTGTGACATAGTAGCCATGATATTTGTGCTCTATTCTTCTCACCAGAAACACCAATGTTGCCAGCTGAACAGTTGAATGAGCATAATCATAAAACATCAGTGCTAACTTTTATTCCGTGCATTTGATTAGTTGTAGCTGAGAAAATTTGCTACAATCACTGCTATCATTTTTAAAAGCACAGCGACGTGGTGATGGATATGAACAAAAACATAAGTTTTCCCATAGTAATTCCCATATAAACTTGAAATGGTTTGTTCCAAGTCAGTTTCTTACTACAGCAGTTCAAATTTTAGGAGGCATATCAGGACCCAATTTGGAACCGTTTGAGCACTGTGGAGCGAAAATTTCAAATTTTGCATCAGTTTAGTGACCATGGATCAAGTAGAGTGGAGACGACTTCTTCGGACAGCAGAGGACAGCAAGGCTTTAGCCTGATTGGTAAGGTAAGTATCAAAAAAATCTATGAAAACAGAGTTTCATTGGACGCTTTGTCGCATCTAGTAGCGTTTGCAAGCAGTGTTGCTTCCACTCACTTTGCTATAATAAATATTTTTCGGAATTATGAAATCATTAGTTGTGATAGTGATAGCACAGACAAACAGACATAACACTCACAATCAGGGCTGAAAAAATCACTAAAATTCATCAAAGTTCACTATGGATGAAAAATTCATTTCATAGTGAATGCTGGTGATTTTTTCATGACTTTTTCAACCCTGCTCACAATCACATTCACCGCAAATAATTTTTTAGTTGGGAATGTGCTTGCATTTGTCATGGTGGCGCCACTGAAGCATTGAGCAAGCCACCATATTTCGAACTTATCAGTGATGCCAGTTCTTTTTCACGTCTAGTTAGTAGATGTCAACTTTGAAAATGATAAGTGGTCAAGGCATCCCACTGGAGGCACATACCACATATGACGAATACACAAAAAAGTTGTTGCATATTACATCAAAACTGCTGCACATTAGTCATTCCGTTCCTAATATTACGTTGTACGATGTACACAGAATTCGAGAACAAATCATGTTGATGACTGTAATATTCTATCAACTTTTACCAGTTATTGATGTTCAATACTTCACCATGAATATCATTGATTGATACATATTTTTTTTTTCTTCTGTGTACACATTGAAGTGATGAGCAGTGGTAGAAAGGGCACTAATAAGTGATGCATTACCTTGTTTAAAAACTTGTTTCCAGCAAAAGAAAAAGCACACTAAGCTAACAAAACAAATCCCTAAAAAAAGTCTTAGCTTCTGAGAATTTTTCCTACGGATCTGCAGAATTCAATCAATTCTATAGATCTTCGGAAAATTTCGTAGAACAGACATCACTGACTTCCATCTGTTTTGTTTTTATTCAACTCAGCTGATGCTTTGACAGAAGGAGGGAAAAGCAACTAGTGAAAAAATTGCATGCAAAAGGGATGCTCCGGTTGCAAAACATGGCTTGGGAATGTGGATGATAGATGGTGCTAGTGCGCATGCAAAATACGCTTGACGATATGTTTTGAAGAATTTTCTTCTAAGAGTTATGTCTGTTTGTCTGTGGTGATAGTTTGAACTTGTAAATTACAAAAAAGAAATTTAAAATATGCGTTTGACACCATAAAACCTATATTCGTTTTCACTCTGAGTTTTACTATCTGAGAAACGCTAACTGAGTTAAGGCCAACACCCATCTTAGGCACACGGCCAATCAGAACAACTCAGTGACTGAATTCAATCGAATCAGAGCATTTTGTTGCCATACAAAATTTACTCATTTTTGGGAAAACCTGCAGGTACTCATAGCTAACGAGTAACTGCAGGTTTTCCCAAATATGAGTAAATTTCGTATGGAAAGAAAATGCTCTGAGTCAATTGAATTCAGTCGCTGAGTTGTTCTGATTGACCGTGTACTGCCATGATTAGACGTTTAAATTTTAACTTTAAATAAGCAATCTATACCGGCGTTGGTCACCTTAATTGCTTACTAAAGCAGAAGATGGGCTGTTGTGTTTAGATTCATCTTACAGGTAACACCAAAAAGCAGTGTCTTCGAGAGAGGTAGCAATCCGTCCCGCTTGTAACTTTCCATAGCTATAACCAATCTCTGATAAGTCGGCGGCACTTACTTGATATCGTTGTAGCTCAGATCCAGAATGGTCGTCGTCTTGGAGAACTTCTCCGCAATTTTGCGCGGAATTTTCGACAGCTTCTCGTACGCCAACGACAGGCGCTCTCCGCTTCCCTCCATCTCGTTGTACTGACTGGAACTACTAAAACGTGAAATAGGATGATTAAAACATCCGTACCTACTCGTTTCACTCGTCCAATTTCGGATACCTACCTCAGGTTGCTTTTCATCGACATTGAATCCGACGACCAATCGTAGTTCAGGTACAGCTCGTCATCGTCGTCCGCCTGCGAGTAGTTCTCGATGAAGAATCTACGGATGGAATGAAGCGAGATCGAGAAGAAATTATTCGTCAGTTCCAACCGCGGTGTTCGGTGGATGCACATTTGAAGCAGTGTAATTTGTAATATTGATTATTGAGTTCGTCCCCTGTGTGAACGCGGTTCAGTGCTTTTTGAAAACAGTCTGATAAGCTAATGACCATGAATGGACCAAGCGGAGAACGATGACGATGATGCAGTTTGTGGCTAATCTTCCACCGAGAAAAGAGCGACAAGTTTTGGTTCTCGCTCGGATGAGGCGCAATCGCGCTTGTTTGAGATGTAAATACAAACAGGAACGGGAAACGAATAGGAGCTCAATGCACTCTAGACACGTGGGTAGTTGAAAAATAAAACGATTAATTACATCATTTCGGCCGGGAAATCCTACGTTTGACCGTTCGAAATAGTTGGAATGTTTCAGCACTTTTCAGAAAATTTTCACTGATCGCAAAAAAAAAACATCAACCGGTCAGTAGCACCTTCCGATCGTTACCGTTGACAAAATGCTACTGCGGAGCAGACTCCTCAAGCAGGCAGCATTGAGATGTGACACAGATAGTACTATCATCGGCCTCACTCTCCGACAACGACGACGACGACGACGACGACCGGGAGCCAGCAGCCATTGATGTGTGAAAAGTTGGCACCATCGAGGCGTTGCCTCAGATATCTGCTGGACGCTTGACTACCTTTTCGTCTGTCATTTAAAATGTCGTCGTCGTCGTCGTCGTCGTTTCAAAGATTTACCACCACAGATTATTGCATTTCGTATGAAAAGGAGACAGAGGCTAAATGGAAACTAGAACAATATGCTAATCTCTAGCACAAGTGGTGGATGAGAGCAAGGGTGACGACTCCAAGAGTAAATTTTCAGATGACGATACCCTGTTATCTTATCTCTGCGGAGATGCTGAAATTTTCTGTAATTCGCAAATAAACGGGAATTAATGAGTGGCGCTTTTATGCGATTATTGTAATCTCAAAACTCCTTGCCTAAAACATGATGTCAGTTTTTCGGTATTAAAGCAACGTCACAACTAAATCTCAATCTTCATTACGCTCTATCTTTATTAAGGAAATTTAATAAAAATCTTCATCCTATCTGATCAGCGCGTGTGCATCTCAGGACATCAAAACTTAATCTTCCCTGTATCTTAAAGGGAATCATGACCCTTGGCAAAATGGTTAAATATAAGTAGGCTTCCTTGACCTCACTTGCTAAAAAAAATGTTTTTTTGGAATTATTAAAGCATTAGTTGTTGTACTGTTGAGTACTTGGCACTGATGACGTCTGCAAGTAGTAGACGAAATACGCGTATCTGTCAAAACATAAGCAATTATAACGGAATTTAAAGGAAATAAACCAACACACTCAAAGCTCTTCACATAAAACCTGTCAGTGTTACTTTCAGAGCGTCTCAATAAGTGATTTTAAGATTCGTGAGTGCTTTCTCTGAGTGAACACTCACGAATTATAAAATTCACAGTCAGTGCTCGGAAAGCAATATTGATAGATTTTATGAGTCGAACACATACTTTGCAATTTCTTCTTGTAAGTAACAAGTACAAAATTTCATTATAACATCTAATGATTTTATTAATCCGCAAAACTTTTGACGTAGGACTACGTCTTTGTTTTGTATATGGGGGTACACTTTGCGAGTACGAAAAATGAGCATGTAACGAAAGGGTCAGGTTTTGAACGCATATATCTCCATAGCATTAGTGTGAAATATATCATGCAATACGCCATTCGACGGAGGCTTACTCCAGCAATTTTGTGGCATATAGTACAAATAGTGCAAATAGTTAAACAACTAAGAAATTGAACTAAAATTTGAAGCATCAAAACTTCCCATACATTTGCTTAGACCATAAGGGGTATTTCCTAACAAAGACATCACATAGTTGGTACCAAACGAATCAAGCCGTTGCCGGATTTCCTTTCGAACTTCAGACGTGTTCGAAAGGCTCCACAAGCAGCTTACTGCCAAGGTTGCCTGCAAGAGCGCTCTAGACAGCGTAGCAGTGATAAAGCCACACTGTCACTGTTTGGGTACAGTTGCTCATCGTGAGAAAGCATTGCGAGCCACCGTCATCAAGCACGTTATCGTCATGTCGAAGCTCACCCAAGCTCAAACTAGCTCACCGTCTCCGTGGAGGTCTCAGAATTCTCCAACCACGACAAAGATACAGCCGGGTAATTTGCTTGCCACTCGACAGACGACGATGCGTATCAAACCAAAACCAAAAAAACAGCATACTTTGTGAAGAATTTGTAAAAAAGGAAGGACTTCGGATGTTGATCGAAATGCAATTATAGAGGAACCAGAAATTTTTTGCAGTGTCAGGTATTCTGTTTTGTAGTATACCGTGGCGAACCGAAATCCGTACACCTAAGAAATGAATCAAAATCCGTACATTTCATACAAAACGCCTACTTTTTGTATGAGGTGTACAGATTTCGATGCTGTACGGATTTCGGTCCCCCACGGTATGAGAGGGAAATCATAAATCGAGTGTTATTAAAAGACATGGCATGTCGAGATATTGATATCGTGAGAGTGATGCTCTCTCTAAAATTTGATTTTTTTTTCGCTCTCTTGGGACTGGTAGTAAAACGGGTAAAAATGTATGGAAAACATCTTTTGACGTAGGACTACGTCTGTGATTTCTATATGGGGGGGAACACTTTTTGAAAACCAAAAATGGAACATGTAACAAAATTATGAAAGATTTTGAACATTAATAACTCAGCCGCCCCCGAACCAATTTCAATAATTTTATCACCAGTCGATCAGAAATATTTCGATGCATTTTTAAATTTTAAGATTTTATCATTTTTTTTCAAAATGTCAGTATTGAAAATTGCACGGATGTGTAACTGTTGCTAGGATAATTAATATTATCACGAATTGCCTACGACAAGCGATTTCCCTAACACAGATTTCAAAGTTGAATTCCATCCGTGTTTATTCAATCACCGAGTGGTGAGTGGTGGTGTTCTTCAGTACACAACGAGAGGCTCCCCGCAAGCAGCTAGCTATCAAGGATGGCCTCAACCGATGATCGGGTTCAGTTTCAATCACCGTGTGTGGTGGTGTCAGGTCATCGGTATCATCATCAGCAGCAGCAGTGCTTTCGGCGCGTGGTGTTGAACATTGTTCTCAAGTACACAACGAAAGGCTGCCTGCAAGCAGCAAACTGCAGCCCACATGAGCATCCATAGAAGGAGGAAGAAGCCGCACCACTATTGATCGGAATCAGTAGCTCTTCGTGAGTTTCTGTGGGCCATCTATGTCAAGCGCGTCATACTAAAGAGCTTACACAGAAAGAACCCCACTCAAATTCCTATTTCTACACAAAACCTCAAGCTCTTGCTGCAGTTAACAAATAAGATTTATTATATAAGACCACTCAGTCCTACGGCACCATTGCGTACAACCCCATAAGACTGCCCCTTGTAGTTTTTTTTTATAGAAAGTGAGTGGAAGCAACCATGAATATAAAAGCTCACTCGATAGCTAGTAAACTTTCCCTACTCAAGCTTTAGGAGCAGAAAAGCGAGAAAATTGAAATCGTATAAAGGCAGAATTTAGTGCCATTGTAAGAAATTAATTTAAAAATAAGACTTGTTGTTTACACCATAGTTAGTTCAATATTTTACGAGGGGGAAGATTTTTTGACTTTTTTTAGAGAAAATTTATAAAACTCTTATGTGAGCTTCCTTTAATTATGGCTATGTTCGTTTAATCCCTTATGACCTACAATAATATTCCTCGAACTCAATATCAAAAGAACAGGGACGTATTGAGGGGGTGGCGTGAATGGCTCCTGCCAAGCAGCGTAGCCAGTTATACAAATTTTTGAACATGATACCGATATACAGATAAGGCTTCTTAGAATACCGATTTTTGATATTATTTTATACCGATTTGCACCGTATTTTTTTTTAATATTCAAAATGAAAATTGCCTGCTCGCGCTGAGCTGCCTGAAGAAACTATAATGTTTCCATTTCCTCGTCGTTTTTGGCTACCCAGGAATCGAGAAACAGCTGATGGCTCATCCCGGTAATTGATGGGAGCAAGAAATACTTTTATTAGGTCCATTTTTAACTTCCAGAAGTTTATTTAATCTTCCCTTGAACTTTCACTAATCTTATTTGTATTACTCCATGCGTGAAGTTAACGAGTTATATAGTTGGAGATGCTTTCCTTGGAAGTTTCTTTCAATTTTCCCTTGAAATTATTATCCACCTTACCCCGTAAGTTATTTACTGACTCCTCCTGGAACGTTATCTTGACGTCCCTGGGAAGCCACATAAAAACTACAGGAACTTTTAAGCAGCGTTGCCCACCTTCCAAATTTATCTGGAATCTTCCAGATTTTTAAGAACCATCTCAATCTCTTGTCTAGACCAGACTTTTCATGGTTTGTCCAGATTTTTCAAGAGTTCTCAATTTGCATTGGTTCACAAAGTTTAAGAAAGGAAGCATCAAACGATTTTAATATTCAAAAATATATGGACGATCGTCTACGCAGGGGAGGGGGGTATACACACTTAGATTTTTTCGCCGAGATGGGCACCACCGGGCATCTCGGGATTATATTTTGCTGGATCTCAGTGAAAAGCTTGCCGAGATTCAGCTAACAAACGGGAATTTTGCCTAGATCTCAGCTAACAAACATATTTTTTGCTAAATTTCCAACAAAATAAAACGCCGAGCTGCTCGGTGGTGACCATCTCGGCAAAAGAAATCTAAATGTGTACACACCAAATTTAAATCGCTGAAACCCAGCAAAATTTTGCTGATTTTAGACTTGATGAAAGATTAGCAAACTTTCCAGCAAAATATTGCTGCTGAATTTTCCAGCAATTCCAACTTCTGTCAAAATTACAACATTTTACTGATAGTCAGCAAAAAAAATCAACAATATTTCTTCACTGATATTTCAGCAATAAAAAATTCTGACAGCCCACAGCATT